CCCAACTTGCCTTTTTTACATCTGTCCCATGTGATTGGAGGCATCTCCCATCCCGGGGTGGGGTCCTGCCAGGGAAAGCGGAGGAGGATCCGAAGATACTTTCTCTTCTTCCCTTCTTTTCAGACACGCTGCTTTAGGGTTCAGATTTCTTTCTGTTGAATTGAAGCAAAAGGCGCTTTCAAATACCGACGTTTTTATACCAGACCGGTCTGTTCATTGCGTGGGCATTTAAAATCATGAATTGTCGGTTACTCGTTCCAGCCCCGCTACGGGAATTCGGCGGGCTGAAGCGGAGGATGCAGCTCGGTCAGCTCAAGAGCTGAAATGCAGCACAAACGGCAAACACCTCCCTCCTTGTGCTTTGCTAAGGAGCAGCCAAGCTTAATATTGAATTTGGATCTTGCTAAAGCACGTAAAACGTGCCCAGGCCGCCGCGGACCTAGGCCGGCATCCCCAGCGCCAGGGCCGGCGGGGAACACCAGCACCCCGGGTGCTCAGAGGTGCCCGCCCGGCTCTGGGTGCCAAGGGCTAGGTCTTGCCTCTCTCCCTGGCACCCGGTGCCCCTGGCCGGGCTCTCCCCCACCCAGAAAGGCGTGTTTGGTGTGGCCGAAGCCCGGGCGGGAGGTAAGGAGACCCGGTGGCACACTGACCTCTGACTTGCTGCTCTAAGCTGAGGATGACGGCCACAGCCTGGTGTAAAATCAGGAGCTTGGTCTGGGGCTTGTCGCTCTTCAGATGGAGCTGCACCATCCGGCCCAACTCCTTGAAAGCCTCGTTGATGTCGCGGACGCGCAGGCGCTCCCGAGCGTTGTTGGCCATTCTCCTTTCCTTTTCCCTCTCGGCCTTCTGCTCCGGTGTCAGGTCTTCGTCGTCGTTATTGCTGGGAGACAAAAGGAATACATCATTTTCTAATGATGTGGATAATAAGCAGCGCAAAGATTTTCAGCAGACTTTGTCCAAAACCAGGGCTACAATTCATGAGCGGACACCTTCTGAGCGATTCTTATTTGCTGTTTCTCCTCCACCAAACTTGTGCAAAATTCAGTCCCCTTACACCTTACGCTGAGTAACTAAAGCCTTAGTTCGTAACGAAGCTTTACAATCTGCGAGGCTGGACTTGCGGTATTTTAAAGAAGCAAAAATACAGCTTTTTCTCAATAACGTATTTTATCACAGCCAATACTACAACACTTTAAATCGTGGCAAATCTCCACTTATCGTCACTCTTGAACCCCAAAGGACACGCCGGTGGCTCTCTGCCCCGCTCCCACCTCTGCTGCCTGCAGGTTCGCCCTGGGAGCGAGGAGCTTGTCCCCGACCCACGAGGGGACCTCCCCGTCTCACGCCGGTGCCAGCACCCAAGTCCCACGGGCTCCGGCCCCTCAGCGGTAGCTTCCAAGCCAGGACAACAGCCGTGCATTTCCACGTTTCCCTTTCAGCAGACTGTCGTTTGGGCTTTGGAAGAAACTTTCTCAACCCCTGAGGGTGAGGCTCTGCCACCCTCCCGCGTAGTGACAAGCCACGGGCAGCGGGGGTGGGCAGCACCCCAGTCCCTGCGTGGAGCACGGGGCACCGAAACGCCCGTGGGCAAAGAGCCACGGGAGTAATTTATGGCTGTGAAGAGCCCTACGGTGAACTTCTGCATCCTTTCTGCAACAAAACTGCTTTCTACCCAGATAAAATGATGATTTTAAATTGAAAACACATCCACTGGTGAGTCACTGGCACTATATAATTTGAATTGGTTATGCAAATGGAGTAATAAATTTTCAGCAGCCCTAACAACATGGATTTAGACATATAACTAAGTATCAGGAGTAACCTTTTAAAGCTGCAAGCATGTTAAAAGCAAAAATGTTAGCCTACAAAAGCTTCAAAGCACACATAAATATGCATAAGCGACAGCGTATTTGTTGAATTAACAAGAACTACCATCACCTCACATCAGCATAAAGGTGCTTTCTTCTTACCATATCCTAAACGCACGTGAAAGCCTCGCTTATACATATGGTTACTTCAACACATTTATTCAGAGAAAATCTCGAGTGTCATATATTTTCTCCAGCCGTCAGCGAAGTAAATGTAATTAACGTTTTAAGCATCGGTGCGCGCTGGCCGGCGAGGTCTGAGTCTCGGCGCTCTCTCGAGGCCAGCACGTCTGCCCAGACGCTCCTTACCTGGGCTCGGTTTCTATGCAGAGAACCAGGTGTGGAAGGAGAAAAGGCAGAAGGACGCTGCCATCCAATCTTTAAAAAAATCCCCTGAACAAAGCAGGGTTGTGCCTGGATTTCAGCTGTACTGGGATTTTTGCTACATAGCTCAGGACTCAACTGATGACGAGGAGTATCTGCAGCCCTGCGCTCACCTGCGGTGACAGGCAGGCAGAATTCAAGGGACGGAGGCAAAGCCTGTCCCTGTTCACTGTTCACGTTCATCAGGGGCATGAGTTCCCAAATGATGAAATCCAACTACGACTTCACTAATGCTTTCTAAAAATGTATAAAGAATATGCCGAACAAGTAAAGACCTCTAAACCCTCCGCTTAAACCTAGGGAGCCCTGGAGATTTACAGAAATTGAGGACTGGGAATGACAAATTTATTTCAGAGGTAAAAGAAAAGCATACGGTTTGTTAGTTCAGATGCAGGCGTGATCAGCTCTTAGGCACATTTTTTAAAGAGATGAAAATCCATACTGTATTCCAATTTGCAAGCATAGGCAGAGAGGAATAACAGCCTAATTCATACATTTTTGCGTTAACGCAATTTCTTTATAGATTGCAGAGAACTGGCTCGGTGTCCAAATTTGTGAATTGTTCAAATCTGAGGATGTCCTGGAGTACATGGACCAGAAAGGCCCTCGGTACTGCCAGAACAGCCGTGCCGTTCCACTTAGGCTGTGGTTTTACCTGCCAGGAAAAAACCTCATAGTTTCCTCCTGTTCTGTTCACTTCATCGAAATCCAGTAAAGGAATTAAATGAAGCGACACTATTATATACTGTTACCTAGATCTTGACCTAGTAATTGATTTGATATCCTTCTTGTCATCCTCTAGTTTCTTGTCCTCAGAAGACTTTGTGTCCTGGAGGTTTTCGTCTCCCTCGTCGTCAGATTTGATTTCGGAGCTACCCGAAGAGACGCTCTGCCCTTGCAGTCCGGTTGGCATGCCTGCGAGAAAACACACGGCCGAGCTGTTAAGCAGTGCTTAAAGCCAGCGCTTGAACGGTCGGGGTCTGTGTCCTCTGTCCCCAGGGAAGGGTGACCGACGGTGCTGCCGCGGAGCCAAGACGGGGACGGCAGCTCCCGAAAATGGGTTCCAACCGGGGCTTTGAGGTCTACCTCCGCGCTGGGGAAGGGGGCTCAGGACGCTTCGCTGCTACTCCTGTGCTTCAATCACTACGGAACTTTTCCTTCATCTTAAAAACCCCCACCTTTAGTATGTCATCCTCATCAAATAATCAAAATACCCTGGCTGCAACGAATGAGCAGAACTTTGTAAGGCATCGTAATAGTTTGGGCTCGCTCTTCCTCGCTTTAACGGGAAGATCAGCCGCTCCTAGGAACAACGATGAACCCCAACGTCCTCCGGGTTGGGTTGGCTCCAGGCCTGCTTTGTAACAAGCCCGCAGGGGAGCCTGCGAGGCTGAGGACACTGCAACGCATCTCGTGAGCCAAGGAGAGGCACGCCGGCACCCTCCTGCCCGCAGGCAGAGCTGTACAGGTGGTGGGAAATCCACAGGTCTGAGTCTCACCTTAAACTCACAGCTTTTGGATGCAGTGTTTTCTACACCCTGAATTTTGCTGCTCAAAGCAGTCCTGGTATCACAACTCACTGTCCAGAGGTAAGCTGCTTGCACACTTGTAGTTGGAATAACTGGAGTATTTCAGAGCGCAGAGCTGAATTAGCAAACAAGCTCTGCCCT